GGGAGATGCTTTGCAGATGCCCGGCAGGTGGAGCTGCTGCTGGATACAGAAAACTTGCCGCAGGAGACCTTAGCACCTCGGCTAAGGCTTTTGCTCTTTTGCTCTTCTGGATTTGGGGGGGTTGAGGAGGGGCAGGGCGGTTGCAAGAGATCCACAGTCCTGGCGCCCATGTCGAAAGTTTGGAGATGAAGGATGCTCATCACGCAGGGTTTCAACGGGCCGGTTGCTGCAAGCACCTGAAATGCACCCAACCAGGTACAGCCAAAGGAAGCTGAGTTTCCGGTCCGAGCCTCAGAGCCTACGGCTGCAACCCTACACTCTTTGAGCCCAGTGTGGGGGGAAGGGTTGGGTCGTTCTAGTCCTTTTGGGGCTGGGGAGGGGTGGGGTTGTCGGTAAGGAATCATACCGTGACCGGCTGTTGAGAATGCGGGGCAGATTATGAGTAGTTTTGGGATACAAAAAAAGGTCAGGACATGCCATGTGCACACGGCGTTGCCCTGGTAGCATCTCTCCCAAGAATCGTTCTGACAGAAAGCGCCCCTAAATAAGGAGTACTCAACAGGGGACTCTTCTTGCAAGGCTAGGAGGGCCTGCAACCTGCTGAGGTTAGGAGCCTGGTCTTTGCGCTTTGCGATGAAGAATTCGTTTGGAGCGCTGGGGTTGGCTTTGTCCGCAGCAGTTCTGCAGATGTGCCAGAAGGGCCTAGTTGGGGTGTTTGGATTTGTCTTAAATCGTCCTCGACTGGCAATGTACATCGTGACAGTTGCCTGGCCATTTGTTCACCTACTTCGTGTCTTCATGCTTGCAGACATCCTTACCAAATCAGTCCAGCGGGTCAGCTCGCCGAACCAGAGCGCACAACAGCACGGGTCAGATCGGGCACCGCGGCGGGTCGGCTCAAGACACATGCCACGGCATACGAGGGCTTAGGGTTTGGAGACCTGGGGTGTGGGATTTTTGCAACATCTCATTGCCATCTTCCCGAGGGATCTGATCGACTCGTGATTGAAAGCCAGGACTCTGCGACTTGAAGCCACCTTATTAGGCTACCTTCCCGTGAAGCTGCAGTTCCACTGTCAGGAGGCGACAGCTCTTCGACGAGGTTGAGACGTGGATGAGAGAGCACAATGACGCCTAGCCAGGTTTAGTGTGCGAACTAGTTTCCCAACCATGTTAACTTAATTTGTGTACGCTCATTCGCGCCGCAGGCAAGCTCGCACTCTTCAACCCCCTAAAGAAGCCCAGCCTTACAACCTGGTGTAGCACAGCCCTTTCATGTCTCTCAGGATTGGCACGGTGAATCCAGTGTCTCGATGCAGCGCTCTGCCCAGTAGTGGTTTTCATTGCAGTCGGCGGCATCCGGGGAAAGTGAGATATTTAAGTTAAGGTGCAGGGGTTTAGACTCACATGCCCGTTGCTGCATTCCTAGCTAGGGGTACAAACATGGCAGTGTTGTCGTGAAGTTCAGCATCGCTCCCTCAGCCATCGAGTGTGGGTGCACAGAATCAAGCCTCAGCTTTATTCTGTTGGGGGGGTTAGGGTTGAGAGCCGGCTACTTCTTTAGCACAGTGATTAGCGAATCAAAGGCATCTTTGCGTCCTCAGGGGGTTCTGAAGATGAGGGGAATGGAAAGGCTCCTGAAGCTTGAGCTCTGAAAGTCTGAAACCAGCCAGCCTCGCCTGCCGCTTGCAGGATCCGAGAAGCCCTAAATCCTGAAACCCTGGAAACCATCCGATCGGAACCAGGTCGGTAGTCGACTACTTGCTTCAACAGCAGCCTTCCTCGCAGGAAGGCATGCCCTGACTCGGCTTGGGCCAGTTTTGGTATGGGGACCTGGGTGGCAATGTAAGGGAAGGGGGGTGAGGCCCAAAACATGCGTGCAAGAAACCAGTACAGTCCCCCTTAGCCCCCCCCCCCCGCCTCACCCCTGGTTCCGCGTGGGCATGTCGTGGACAGATCGGGGATTCCAGGAATTGAGGTTTGGGTCTCTAAGTATCGGCCCTACCCCAACCATGACGAACCATCCCCACCAAGCCGCAAGCCACGAAACAGGTGAGGAAGAGCCGGACGAGGACGTCAAGGCGAGCGCACAGCCCCACTACTGTTTGCAGCGCGAAAGGCCCGAAATATCTATGCTGACTAGGCTCTGGAGGTAGCATGCCTCTCATCGCCTTGTGCTTATGTCCCTGCCACTTTCAGAAAGCTTCGTTTTGATTGCTAGGGTAACTTTGGGGGGGGCTGATGACGCGAGGCCCTCTTACGGCACAACCTGAAAAAGAACTTGCGGAAATTCATCCGCCGGGAGGACCTTGCACTGGCATTTCACACCAAGGGTTCAGGTTCATAGAAGAAAGTTGAGGATACTGGGGTATGAGGGTAGGTCCCGACAAAAGTAAGGATTATAGGGTATGAAGGCTTAAGTATTTGTGGTGGCATCGGCATTTGTGATTTGACAAGCTCCTGTGCTCCCTAAACAAACCCTAAACTACCTTAAATCCTAAGCCCTAAACCCCAAACACCGAAACCCGAAACACCTAAACACCTAAACACCTAAACACTTAAACCCTAAACCCCCAGTCCTAAACCCCAAACCCTCCTGCGTGGAAGGATGCTCCCCAGAAGAAGGGCCACAAGCGAGGCTTGGCAGTCTTCGCCCGACTGCAGCATCTCGGCAGCTCTCTTGGGGCTTTCGGTAAGGGCCACCCCCCACAGGTTGAGGGTTTAGGGTTGAGGGTTAAGGGTTTTGGTTGAGGGTTTTTAGGGCGAGAGCCCCAAAGGGTGGTTGGGGCAATTTTGGGCATGAGTATGGGGGAGTGACCGCTCAGTGTCGAGACCTAAATGGCTGGTACTCGCAGAGCTTGAGCCCAGGAGAGGTACGTGCAAGGCCTACTCCACTTTGAATAGAAGCACGGCGTCCAAGAATTTGGTCAAACTAGTCATGCTGAAAGGATATCTGGATGTGATTGGCTCCGGGATTGCGTGGACCCACAATCATCAACTCGAGGCTTCGCCCCAATGCCCTCCCTCATCTCCACAAGCCTCGGACAACCCCACGGTTTGTTCGGGTGTGTGGCGACGTTGAGCATGTTGAAACTGAGTCGGGGACCTGCAAAAAGGAGCACCCCCGGAACGGAGGTGTTGTCGCCCTGTGATCTGCTGGGTCCTTTGGGTGCTTTGGGCTTCGTTTTGTGGATCTGAAGCTGGTCTCCAAACTGGTCCAAATTGATCCAACGACAGTGGCAGAGGATGGCTTGCTCCTTTTCAAGCATCCCCATCGCAAGGTACAGCCGAAAGCGGAGAGGAACAGGACTGCTGGGCTGGCTGGGAGGAGTGTCGGCAGATCCTGTTCTCGATCCTTCCCTCTAGCTATCTAAGTTGTCTCACCAAAGTTCTGAAGCGATGTTGGGGTGGTTCTACGTTTGGGTCCCTGCTCGGGGTCCTCTTCTAACGGGGTTTGGCCATAAAGCGCTACCCTCAACCCTCCAGACTCATGGGTAAATTAGGGCACCATTTTGGGCCCTTGTTGTGACGGGTGCCGTATAATATGGGGACCCCACAGTAGGACCCTAATTTAGAGAACTGCTTTATCAAAATGGCAGGGCAGTTGCATGTTCTTCAGCGGCATATGCTCAATACATATCCACATCTGCTGCTTGCCCTAACCGAGCCCTTCCAAGCCTGAACCGCCTGAACCCTCAAATCTCAGAACGCTTCCGACTGGCACGGCTGGCCTTGAGTTAGTGTTCAGGGTGCGGGGTTGAGGACATCTTGTGCGCACGCCTCTCAACCACAGGAAAGTCAGGGTCGAGGGCCACCGTTTCAAGGCTGTGAGCTTGCAGAGGGCATGGGCTCATGGGTTTCACTTAGCAGGATCCCGGCCACAACTCCAATGTCGATGAACCCGACCCCTATAACATGTTAAAGACCAGCGAAGTAAACCGGCTAAACCCTTAAACCCTCAACTCTAGACCATTCAACCCGAAGCCCTTAAAAAAGAAACGCTTTGTCTCCTTCAGGCGCCTTCGGCACAGTCTTTGACGGCGACGTCGAGGCTTTTTTCACAGATTCTTAGGGTTTGTAGGGTTTTCGGGGTGTAGGCCCCAAAACAAAACGAGTGAGGCAAGAGCAAGGCTCCAACTAGCTCACCCTGCGACACACTGAAGCCACCCCTGCTATCTCAAGCAAGGCAAGGTGCCAACGGCCTCGACCCCCTAGATCCCCGAAATCGTTAGTCTCTAGACGTAGACTCCTAAACCCTTAAACCAGGAGCCCCTAACCCCCTAAACCTCTTAAGTTCCATACCCAAGCCCCAAACTCTAAAGTGACGCTCCCTTTCACTTTGCCTGGCAGGTCCGAATCCGAGGGCTCCCGCCGCTGCTGCGACGTCTAGCAGTAAAGGAGGCTTGCGTTTGCGTCTTTACGGGTTTGAGATGGGCTTCTAGGGGTTGAGGGGTTTCGAGTTAGGGTCGAGGCAACCAAGCTTGCTTTTCAGTTTAATTTTGTTGTTTTGTTGGATTGTGCGTGTTTGGGTCTACCTGAGCACTGAATTAGGGTGTATCAGGTTTGTCCTGCAGGGCTTCAAAGGTTAGCTTTGCCGGGTCGGGGTGCCAATCTCACCTCCAAGGTACTTCCTGCTTGGCACCCTAAGACCGAGCCTAGCGCATCAAGTGCACCACTGCCCCGGGCAGTGAGCAGTGGCTGTAGGAGCGCTGCCTAGGAAAGAGAGCCCGAAACCCCTCTGGCAGCCAGGTTTTCAACTCAGCGGGTGCACAAACCGAGCCCTCCTGGACAGACTTGAGGAGCCGTGAGGGCAGCAGGTCTCAGCAGGTTCGGATGTGTGTCCAAACCCCAAACATTCTTGATTCCGCCTCAACAGCCTTGAGCCGGTCGGGCCTGAATCCTGAACCCCAACACGTGTGCTTCGAGCGGTAGCTTTGTCGCTTGGAAGGGCCACGGGCTCCGGGCTCATCTTTGCTTTCCTAGCTTCTGCTTCCTGAGAGATGAGACGAAGGCCCCAAGCCTCGGAAGCAGAGGCGAGCACGGAGAAAGCGGAGAAGAAATCTGAGAATTCTGAGGGCTCCAAAAGCGAAGCAAGGGCGGGAGGCAAGCGTGGGAGCGTCTCCGGCTGGCCGCTCCTTCAGTCAGTTTTGGTGGTCTGGCCATATGTGGAGCAACAGCGAGGCTACAAAGTCAGGGTCTTCGGCTGTGCCCTGCTTGTGACTGTATCCGAGTTCTGCAAGTTGTATATCACCCTGGCATACAAGGCACTCCTGGATGCCGTCAGCCAGGTAAGCTCCGAAGATGTCAATGGGCTTCTTCTTCCCGTCCTTAGCACCTTGCTTTGGTATTTGGGCATGAAGACAGCCGAGCAGACTGCCTCATGCTTCTTGAACTACTTGCTTGTGCCACTGTTGGAGGAGGTTGGCTTATCTGTGGGTGTACATGTGCTTCGACACGCTCATGCCCTTCCACCCTCTTATCTGCAAGGCAAGTCTACTGGCGAGCTCTCAAGCCTCGTCTCGACATCCCGAAAGTCCGTCAAAGACTTCTTGTACAAGTTGGTCTACTTCGTCCTTGGTACCTCAATCCAGGGTACACTGACTTTGTTGGCCCTGCTGCAACATGGATGGCGTTTTGTGGCCATGGTCTTTGTGACTTGCGCATCCTACATGTTCATCTCTTCCAACATGACTGTGTCCCTGACTGAAAACCGTGTTCAGATGACCTCCCAGGAACGGCAGTATGACGGTGACATCACGGATGCTTTCCTAAACTTGCATACTACCCGTGTCTTTGGTGCGGAGTCATACCAGCTCGCGCGGCTCAGCAGGACGCAGGAGGCCCTTCAAGCCTGCATTTACAGACACTTCCGTGGTATCACCATCCTGGCCCTCCTCCAGGTGCGGTGTTAAGGATACGGGCTTAGGCTTATGCTTCAGGGTACTACAACAGTTTAGGGTAAGCAGGTAGGGTCTCCAGGGTTTAAGCAACAACTCGGCTTGTCGGAATTGGAACCCAATGTTTTTTTTGTGGGATTCCTTGTGAAAGAACACCCAAAATCCAAAGCCTACCCCAAAACCCCAGAGCCTAAAACGTGAAGAAGAACCCCAGATGGCCATCCTGAATCTGGGAACGCTCTGCGTGGCTGTGTCGGCACTGCTGCAGATGCAGCAGGGCAAGATGTGCCTCGTCACTGGGATTTGCCTTAACGTTCACGTTTAGGATCTTGGGATATAGTGTAACCTAAAGCCCGTTTTAGGGTTTAGGGTTCTGGATTGTGGCTGGATAACAAGGGTGAGCCTACGCGATTAACATTATTTGCGCCTCCTGTTTTGTCCCTAAACCCTAAAACCTCTTGACTCGGCCCCCTCTTGTGGTCTGAAGAGAGGGTTCGGGAGCCCTTGTGATCATGTAGGGGATGTCTCTCAGGCAGCCCTCTGAAATAAGCCAAGGGTACCCAAAGCCCAAAATTGCCCCCGAGACCCTCAAGCGTGGGAATCAGAGGACGGCGGGGGACTTTGCCTTGATGATGGGCTTTATGCTGGAGCTGCGGGCTCCCTTGTCCAGCTTCGAGCGGGACTATCGCTACCAGCGGATCTCTCAAACTGCAATTGAGGAGTCGGAGGGTTGGTTCTGCTGGGTGTCTTGCTTTTCTTGTTGTTCCTGGAACCAACTTCTCTATAGGTATTGTCTGCGCGTGTTTTTCCTCCCATGTTTCGGATGAAGCTGCTCTGATGCTCCCTGCTTGAAGGAGCTGAACCAGTTCCTGCAGCGTTCGCCCGTTGCAGATTCCGGCGTAGAGGTCGTCTTCCAGGAGGGCCAGCTTCAATATGATGCCGTGTCCCTCTCGTACGGTGAGGGCCTGGCTGTCATGGACATCTCTTTCCGCCTGCCAGGTGGCTCCTTTACCGGGCTCGTGGGCTCCACTGGCGCCGGCAAGAGCTCGGTCTTGCGGGCGCTCTTCGGCTTCCCGGAGGTGAAATCAGGGCGGATACTGATCGACGGCCAGGATGTCTCGCGCTGTAGTCAATCCTCCCTGTGGTCACTCACAGGCTATGTGCCACAGTCATGCGCTTTGTACCGTGACACCATCCGCGCTAACATCACTTTGGCCGCCGCATCCGCCGGCTCCAGCCCAGATGAGCTTGAAGAGAGGATGCACAGCGTTTGTCGTATCGCTGACATCCATGATTTTGTGGAGACACTACCAGAAGGCTACGACACGCAGCTTGCAGATCAAGGCTCCTCCATAAGCGGTGGGCAGAGACAGCGCATTGCCATCGCACGAGCCCTGTTCCGCCAGCCGCGGATCCTCGTGTTCGATGAGCCCTTTTCAGCCCTGGGAGCAGAGACATCGCAGTCCATCTTGCTGCAAGTGCGAGAGCACCTACCCCAGATGACATTCCTGCTGGTGACGCACAAGCTTCTTCATGTCACTGGCTGTGACACGCTCTTGGTGTTCGACGGCGGACGGCTGGTGGCCAAGGGTTCTCACGATGCCTTGCTCAGCTCGTCCGATGTTTACGCCAGCATGTGGAACGCTCAGCCAACGCGATGATGTTCTCTGTCAGTTTCTCTTTCAGCATGTGGTCTTTCTCGGGAGAAAAGTGTAGTTCAGCAGCGGAAGTCGGTGAGGGGATGAGGGCTGAGGAGCAGGTTCCGATACAATTATGGCATAGCATTGAGATTCCTGAGTCTTTGGTCTTTGGGTTTCAGGGGTGGCTGGTTGGTGCTGATTCTCCTGACATCCCGCAACTGCATCAACCCATCTTGCCAAAGAAACCCCGCATCAATCGGAAGTGTTCGAAAGTGGCAGAGTCCCTGCTAACTCCCTAAGTTCTCATGCTCATAGGCATCGCCTGATGTCGGGATTAGGGATTAGGGTTTAGGGTTTAGGGTTCAGGTTGCAGCGAAGTGCCTGCCAAACCATGACGACTTCTCGGCATAGACACAGAACCTCCTACTGCCTTCGCCTCACCACTCTCTACCCACCCACACGCCCACACCAACGCACACTGTAGATCGCCCTCAAAGCAGTAGCATCCTCCCTTGCACGCAGCAGGGGGTCCGGTTAGACTTCTGGATCTATGGCCCTGCAGGAAGATGATCCGCGAACATCGCGGCATGACTCGTGTCCGCTACCATGCGCCTGGGATTCATTGGATCTGGTCTATTGCCGTAGATCGCGCAGACAGCCCGTTCCCTCTGCCCAGTGTGCTGCGTTCAGAGGTATCCCTGATTGTGAAAGGTTTGCAGTGAAGATGTTGGCTGCAGTTGAGTCATCGCATGCGCCAGAAAATTCGCCGCACAAAGCGTTGCTAGAGTCTGCTAGAGCAAGTGGCTGCCACAGCGCTGTCAAAATCGGGGTGTTGGCATGGCTTCATTGCAGCTCCACGACCAACCCAGCGCCATAGCGGCCGACCTGTCTTAGTCCCAGAAGTGCTGCACAAGTTGTGCTCTCCTGTTTCGGCGACTGGTCACAGTGTCTTGGGTATACTTGGGTAGATGCACTTGCTAGACGGACCGTTTGAGTGGCGCGCTGTCAAAATCGGGGTGTTGGCATGGCTTCAATGCAGCTCCACGACCAACCCAGCGCCATAGCGTGCGACCCGTCTTAGTCCCAGAAGTGCTGCACAAGTTGTGCTCTCCTGTTTCGGCGACTGGTCACAGAGTCTTGGGCATACTTGGCTAGATGCACTTGCTAGAGGGACCGCTTGGGTGCCGCGCTGTCAAAATCGGGGTGTTGGCATGGCTTCATTGCAGCTCCACGACCAACCCAGCGCCATAGCGGCCGACCCGTCTTAGTCCCAGAAGTGCTGCACAAGTTGTGCTCTCCTGTTTCGGCGACTGGTCACAGTGTCTTGGGTATACTTGGGTAGATGCACTTGCTAGAGGGACCGCTTGGGTGGCGCGCTGTCAAAATCGGGGTGTTGGCATGGCTTCATTGCAGCTCCACGACCAACCCAGCGCCATAGCGGCCGACCCGTCTTAGTCCCAGAAGTGCTGCACAAGTTGTGCTCTCCTGTTTCGGCGACTGGTCACAGTGTCTTGGGTATACTTGGGTAGATGCACTTGCTAGATGGACCGCTTGGGTGCCGCGCTGTCAAAATCGGGGTGTTGGCATGGCTTCATTGCAGCTCCACGACCAACCCAGCGCCATAGCGGCCGACCCGTCTTAGTCCCAGAAGTGCTGCACAAGTTGTGCTCTCCTGTTTCGGCGACTGGTCACAGTGTCTTGGGTATACTTGGGTAGATGCACTTGCTAGAGGGACCGCTTGGGTGGCGCGCTGTCAAAATCGGGGTGTTGGCATGGCTTCATTGCAGCTCCACGACCAACCCAGCGCCATAGCGGCCGACCCGTCTTAGTCCCAGAAGTGCTGCACAAGTTGTGCTCTCCTGTTTCGGCGACTGGTCACAGTGTCTTGGGTATACTTGGGTAGATGCACTTGCTAGACGGACCGCTTGGGTGCCGCGCTGTCAAAATCGGGGTGTTGGCATGGCTTCATTGCAGCTCCACGACCAACCCAGCGCCATAGCGGCCGACCCGTCTTAGTCCCAGAAGTGCTGCACAAGTTGTGCTCTCCTGTTTCGGCGACTGGTCACAGTGTCTTGGGTATACTTGGGTAGATGCACTTGCTAGACGGACCGCTTGGGTGGCGCGCTGTCAAAATCGGGGTGTTGGCATGGCTTCATTGCAGCTCCACGACCAACCCAGCGCCATAGCGGCCGACCCGTCTTAGTCCCAGAAGTGCTGCACAAGTTGTGCTCTCCTGTTTCGGCGACTGGTCACATTATACTTGGGTAGATGCACTTGCTGAACGGACCGCTTGGCGCGCTGTCAAAATCGGGGTGTTGGCATGGCTTCATTGCAGCTCCACGACCAACCCAGCGCCATAGCGGCCGACCCGCTTAGTACCTAGAAGTGCTGCACAAGTTGTGCTCTCCTGTTTCGGCGACTGGTCACAGTGTCTTGGGTATACTTGGGTAGATGCACTTGCTAGACGGACCGCTTGGGTGGCGCGCTGTCAAAATCGGGGTGTTGGCATGGCTTCATTGCAGCTCCACGACCAACCCAGCGCCATAGCGGCCGACCCGTCTTAGTCCCAGAAGTGCTGCACAAGTTGTGCTCTCCTGTTTCGGCGACTGGTCACAGTGTCTTGGGTATACTTGGGTAGATGCACTTGCTTAGACGGACCGCTTGGGTGGCGCGCTGTCAAAATCGGGGTGTTGGCATGGCTTCATTGCAGCTCCACGACCAACCCAGCGCCATAGCGGCCGACACGTCTTAGTCCCAGAAGTGCTGCACAAGTTGTGCTCTCCTGTTTCGGCGACTGGTCACAGTGTCTTGGGTATACTTGGGTAGATGCACTTGCTAGACGGACCGCTTGGGTGGCGCGCTGTCAAAATCGGGGTGTTGGCATGGCTTCATTGCAGCTCCACGACCAACCCAGCGCCATAGCGGCCGACCCGTCTTAGTCCCAGAAGTGCTGCACAAGTTGTGCTCTCCTGTTTCGGCGACTGGTCACATTATACTTGGGTAGATGCACTTGCTAGACGGACCGCTTGGCGCGCTGTCAAAATCGGGGTGTTGGCATGGCTTCATTGCAGCTCCACGACCAACCCAGCGCCATAGCGGCCGACCCGTCTTAGTCCCAGAAGTGCTGCACAAGTTGTGCTCTCCTGTTTCGGCGACTGGTCACAGTGTCTTGGGTATACTTGGGTAGATGCACTTGCTAGACGGACCGCTTGGGTGGCGCGCTGTCAAAATCGGGGTGTTGGCATGGCTTCATTGCAGCTCCACGACCAACCCAGCGCCATAGCGGCCGACCCCTCTTAGTCCCAGAAGTGCTGCACAAGTTGTGCTCTCCTGTTTCGGCGACTGGTCACAGTGTCTTGGGTATACTTGGGTAGATGCACTTGTTAGATGGACCGCTTCAGTGCCGCGCTGTGAAGACTCCTGAATGCCCTAAAGTGCGAGTTCCAAAGGTTCGTAGTGCATGAAATAAGCGAATTCACGTCCAGGATTCATTCTATTCATGCACACGCGTCTGTATTATTAAAATGCAAGGAACAAGTGACGCGCGTATTTTAATAATAAAGCGTGTGGGTGAACGAAGTGATAGAGCGTTTTAATTACAAACGAAGTGAATGCAAAGAACGTAGTGCGTGAATTAAATTAGCGAATGAACGAAGTGAATACTAATTCTGTAGCTCTTTCCTTGGGCTTTTCTCTCCCTTTCACCCCTATTATTATTATATGGGCAGACCCAACGCATGCCGCATCGCGAGCGACGTTTTCATGACCCTACAGGAATGGCTTCAGTGCTCTGCGTCCCTTGTAGCTAGGGCGAGCCAAGGTCCCCCTGCAGAGCTGTGACCGCCACAACCTGATGCAGCCCATCGCCAGTTTCCTAGGCGGGTCTTCTTTCCCTATGCTACTCGCAGCCCTTCAATGCTCTGTTCGAAGCGAATCTCCCCGCTCCCAACTCCCCACCCCAAGCAAGTTGGGTGGCAAACAGGAGAACTTGTAGGCCGTGCAGCGAAGAATGGGAGCTCGTAAGTATGGTGGGGGGATGAGGGTCCAAGCCTCGGAGCTTGCGGTGTAGGAGTTTAGGGCTTAGGGTTAGGAATGGCTAGGACCCCCGCAAGGGCTGCCTTCTTGGGGGAAGGTTCGGTTGCCTTGTCAACCCAAAGGCATTCCCTTCTTCACACCGTCGACGCTCTGAATGAGCCAATGTAAATTTTGTTTGGGGGCGAAAGGGGGGGGAGGATGAAGAACTCCAAACCCCCCCCAAAAAGTTGCTAAAGACTGGTAATTTCTTATCGGAACCCAAAGGACCCAAACAATTCCGAAATGTTTTTCTACTGGCCAGGCCTTACCGGCGCCTGGCTCCTCGTGGAAGCCGTGGCTGGGGCCGACTTAGGCAGCGCGCCTGGGGGGTTTCCCGAAACGCCAATCCCTAAACCCTATATAGGGCTTGGTGAAAGATGGGGATGTTGCAGAATTTACTCCCAAACCTCCCTGGGCTTAGACTTAGAGGACTTTTGGGCGCTCTTGCAATCTCCCACCCCGACCCCTTCGACATCCCTCGATTGTCCCGCAGGTTCAGTCTTGACCGTGGGAAATGATGGGGATGGCCATCAGGAGAAACGATTCCTGGCCGCTTACTACTCAAGCCGCAGGTTCGTGGGTTTGTGAGATCCCCTTGTACCCCTCCTGACCTATTCTCGAAGTTGCCCCTTAATCATTGCTACCCGAAATGAGTCGGGAACTGTGGGGATCAGCTGTGGATCCTACGAGTTTAGCGACAGTTGCCAGAGGGGGGGGGTTTCAGCATACTTACAATATACAGGGAAAGAGGGCTTGAGCAGCAGGCGAGGACCCAGGAGGCCCTACCATGCAGTGCCAATCGTCTCAGAGATTCCCCTTCTGCAGTGTTTAGGGGCTTCTTGGGCTGAGTGGGATAGAGAATCGACGTGTCGGCAGGAAGGATGGAACCGGAGCCGTCTTGGGACTCCAAGTATACGAAGGCTTCCCTGCCCTCTCCCCCCAAAACC